GTCAATTGCAAGATATAGCCACAAATGTTAAAGAGTTATAACATCCCAAATAAACGCTTCACAAGATGTTTATGAAAAACAACAATTTTATAAGATCATAAATCAACATGAAAAAAAAACACTAGCTAAGAACTTCTTTATTAGTTAGATCATTTATAAAAAACAATCTATTTGCAACTTCTCTTTCTTTGAAATCAAATAACTATGATTTCAAGATTCATTATTGCATCAGTAAGAAAATAATTATAATAATATAAACAAAGTTCTAATTGCACAACCAAAGGGAGCACTAATCACTATAAGGATGAGTTTAAACAAAAACTTTTTTTAGGAAAATCAACATTAATTTATGAAGTCAGCTTATGTGATGTTCTCTCAAATTTTTCAGTTGTATTGACAATTCAACATTCAAGGTGACTTTGGGAAACAAGTGAATGCAACTAGTGAAAGATAACTGCAGAAGTGAAGGAAATGAGTGAAAGTCTATTAAAAACTTTGAGGCACCACCTCAAAAACTTTTTTCTTCTTCTTCTTCTTCTTCTTTTGTTTTGTTGCACATAAGCAACATATTAGTGCACTGCTGCTTCTCACTGGTGTATTAATGTCATTGGTTCCTTTGTGGCTACTTGAATATTTTAAGTAAGCGTCACTCAAAGCAGTAAGTAAGTTGATTTATCTGCCTTGAAATTAACTGTAACTTAATAAAACCTAGTAAGTATAACAACTAAGTAAAGATAACTAATTATATCTAAGTAAGGTAAACTATTGGATTTTACAGTGTAGCGATTAAAATGTGCATTTGTGGATCAGGCGGCAAGCATGCATTCATTGACATCTCTTCTGAGTCGATTCTATTTGATTCATTTGAATTTTGAAAACACAGAATAAATTTTGCCAAACAAATGTATGATAAACACTTTCAGGGACCCCAGAGCAGAGATATTTTATGTCAGCGTTTCATCCATTTGAGCTGCTTTATATTGTCGTAAGATCTGTGGATAAGCTGAAACCCCGAATATTTACACAAATTATAATAATTCATTGTATTTCAGTTAAACATCGGACAACAGTGGCAGATTTAGGCATGGACAACACAACAGCCAGCATGCTTCTTTGCAGCTGATACTGACTCAGAAAATACTAGTATAGGCTATTAATTAATAATTAAGATATCTCCTTGCTATTTCCTTGCTTATATGCTATATAGCCTAATAGGTCAAGTCAAGTCAAGTCACCTTTATTTATATACCGCTTTTAACAATACAGATTGTGTCAAGGCAACTGAACAGCATTAATTAGGAAAATAGTGTGTCAATAATGCAAAATGACAATAGTAAACACTAATTTTTCAGTTAAAGACAGTTCATCACTGAATTCAGTGATGTCATCATCCAGCTAAGTTCAGTTTAAATAGTATCTTTGCAATCATTTGCAATCAAGTCAACGATATCGCTAGAAATGAAGTGTCCCCAACTAAGCAAGCCAGAGGCGACAGCGGCAAGGAACCAAAACTCCATCGGTGGCAGAATGGAGAAAAAACCTTGGGAGAAACTAGGCTCAGTCGGGTGGCCAGTTCTCTTCTGACCAGACAAAACCAGCAGTTCAATTCCAGGATGCAGCAAAGTCACATTGTGCAGAGGACTCATCTGGTTCCTGTGGTCTTGTCCCGGTGGTCGTCTGAGACAAGGTCTTTACAGGGGATCTGTATCTGGGGCTCATCTAGTTGTCCTGGTCTCCGCTGTCTTTCAGGGCTGTGGAGGTCCTTTCTAGGTGCTGATCCACCATCTGGTCTGAATACGTACTGGATCCGGGTGACTGCAGTGACCATCTGATCTGGATACAGACTGGATCTGGTGGCTACGGAGTCAAGCAGAGTACATCAAAACGATTATCTGTGATCATTTCATGTACAATAACTGCTTTGGGTGCGAGTGATCTAATGTTTAGGAGCCCAAACTTTAAAAATCGTTTTTGTTAATTTATTTTACATTTTTCTGGTTTAATCACGATCAGATTTTTTCTAGATCCTGCATTAAATTTATATTTTGACCTCACTATTCGGGGAACAGACACAGTCTTTATAGATTGGACAGCACAAATACTTCAGGGCAGTTATTTGAGATTTGACTTACTATTCATATTGAGCGCAGCGTCCTGGAGATGTTGTCCGACATGTTGTCTGACATGCACCGAATGCAGCTCGAACGTGTCCTCACCTGCACTCAAAGGTAGACACACATCCGCCATTAAAGCAAGTAACAGTGAATAGTGTATTAGTAATGTAAGCGAGATTAGCGGCAACCACGCTGGCGATGCTAGCGGGCTATATGCTAATAGCGGACTCGGGAAGTCAAAAATAGAACTAGTGATAACAAGGCGCTCTGATTGTTTTTGTTGTAGAATACGATAGGGGATATATTCACACGTTATAGAAACGAAAATTATGGTGTATAAAATTGATTTTAAGATAAAAAATTTACTTGACGGAGCTCAAACTCAAAACACACGGCAGCAACAAACAGGCAGCACTGAAGAGACGAAAGCTCATTGGTTTAGTACAGTATATGTTTAAGTAATTAAATTAATATGAACGTGCGATTACTAATGACTTAAATGACCGACTACTAGTCGACTAGAAAAATCTTTAGCAGGGGCTCTAAAATAAAATAAAATAAAATAATAATAAGGAATAATTGACAACGTGCCGTTAAACTACAGGGAAAAAAATCCAAGGTACCGTCACAAAGTGCTTGTTTGTCAAACTTCATGTATTGTCTTAAGACAAGTTAAGTTAGAATAAGTTCAATAAAACATCTAGAGTTATTATATTTCTACGGGCAGAAAAAAAGGAAAGAAAGAAAGAAAAAAAACAACGCAAACCATTCATAAAGCTGGAATGTGCACATGTCTCTAGTGCCATCTAGTGGTCGCTGATTTTCTGTGGCTAAGCTGCTAGTGGATCGCGAGTTGTTTGTGTGTGGATTGCGCAAGGCTGAAAGGGCGGAACGAAAGTCTCAAAATTCAAATGAATCAAATAGAATTGACTCAGAAGAGATGTCAATGAATGCACGCGTGCTGCCTGATCCACAAATGCACACCTTAATCGCTGCATGCAAAAATCATGATACTTTAATACAAAATATAACATTTGTATTCACAAACATCTCTATTTGAACAAAATGCTGCACATTCATGCAATTCTGAATTTCACAGACACAAGTTGAAAGGCATTTGGTTGTGGATAGTAAGATACATCTGTGAATTTTTCTAATCGATGGGTAGATGTGCACACATTAATGAATAGCGCTGGGTCTTATTAATTGGGAGTTGTTTGTTTGTGGGTTGTGAAATGCTTAAAAATGCGAAAATAAAGTCTCAAAATACAAATGAATCAAATAGAATTGACTCAGAAAAGATGTCAATGAATGCACGTGTGCCACTCGATGGACATCTTCCTTGTTGTATGTGCAAATTCTGATACACTAATGCAAAAGGAATCAAGAAGAAGTTGTAGTATTTCCTCAGCGACCAGCACGGATCAGCTCCAGGCATGACGAAGCAGATATCATCCTCTTTTGGAAGGCCAAACAAAGTAGTTTCGCTTTCACAACGAAGCACACAGCGTCTTCACGACATGGCGGCGGCGGCAACAATACTACAGCGAGAATAAAAGTTATGCCTTCTTTCTTTGCGTGAACATTTGGGCGGCGTTATGCAAATCTTCCCACATCGTGAGGTAGACATGTGGGGGCGTGTTAGAACGAGGCGTTTTAGGTAGGCGTGGCTGACTTAACTTTTATAAAGAATATCTCTTTGGATTTGAGACTTTAGTCTTTGCAACTTTACAGATCTTCTTTATGCACCAAGAGCTTGTAACACTCCAAAGAGAAAGGAAAAATTGAAATCACATCATATGACCCCTTTAAGATTATAATAAAAATGCATGCATTATTTGAAGTGATTGTATTTCTGAATTGCATACTTGCACTAAAGTGTGTTTTAGTTGCAATGCAACTGCAAATAAGTAGAACCGATGTATATACGCAAATACATTGTAATACAAATTTCAACATTTCAAGTTCACATTTCAAGCATTTTATGTGCAGTTCAACTGAATTTGCAATGGTAGTCCACTTCAACCCGAACTTAGGCTTATTACAAGTGACACTACTTTCAGTTACTTCAGTAAAACGTATTGGGAATACAGGCCGATACATCTGTGGGTGTGGCCCATAATGACTAATTGGCCTATATCTTGTGAAAGCAGATCCTGGTACACACGGACATTCTGGGGAAGCATGACAAATTTCATTAATTTCTGTGAATAGGAATGATGATAACTGTAATACTAATGTTGTCCCGAGGGAGTCACAGTAGGTCTCATAAATTAAAATCTGCATACATCAGGGGTGTCGAACTCATCTCCTGGAAGGCCACAGCCCTGTACACAAAATCTGTTGCTCAATCACAAAATATGCTCTCCAACCACAGTCTACAGACTTTAGTTACAAGTCTAATCAAACGGGGTGTACATTGTTCAATTGATTGACTTCAATACAATCAGTGTGTAAAGAAATATGTGATCTCCAAAAGAATTATAGATCATTAAATGTATAATATTAAAACATATTTAATTTCTCGTATGTTTTATTAACTGTCCAGTCTCTTTTAACATAACACATAGAATAGTACTTCTATAAAGGGACATTTTTAGACTCATATTTGACAAGAGTGTCACCAGATCGTCTTGGACCCCAATAATCTGCTTGTGGCTATATTTCACTTTACACTAGTTAATACCAATTGTTCATTGTTAAATTCATGTTTGCTCGTAATGCAATAACGCTCATTTATACAACTTGAAATGTTTATGTTAAAAATGTAGGCTATTTTCTAGTAACTTAATATAGGCTATTTGCAAACAGGTTTCATTAACTCAAAAAAGATAGGAATTGCAAGTCAATGGTGTTCGGGCTGAGCCACAGAGGGCCGCCTGCAGGAACGAGGTAGCTTCGCAGCACGATGCTGCATTAACCGCGATGCACTGATTTCAGTTCAGTTGGCCGTGAAAACGACAGGTGCAGGTGCTTTGTGCTGTTCTTCTAAAATGCGCAAAACGCTGATTTTTTATATAGTAAACTAATACTTTTAATCTCGAATGTGATGTGAGAAAAAGCGTGCCATTGTTTCCATCGTGGGAAATGAGCGTTCACAGCAGCGCCATCATGTCTCCTGCGGCGCATCTCATCCAGCGAGCGCTCATCTGTTCTGTTCTTCTCTGGATGTCGACGGCGGTCATGACTCGATCCTCCTCAACATCTGATCTTAAATCCAAAATATCTGGTGTGGAAGAACTGCTGGAGGAGTTCCGTAAGCAGCTACAGCAGGATGAGTCGGACTCGAGGGAGGAGGAGGAGGATGGAGACCGCTGTATCAGTGGCTTCAAGGCGGCGGAGGAGCGCATCATCCGCGCCAGCGCGTCCATCGAGCAGGGCGCCGCGTTCTTGTCCGCCCCGCAGAGGGTGTTCAGCTGGAGGGACTGCGCGCACGCCTGCTGCTCTCACCCGCACTGCACAGCCGCCATCATCCAGGAGGACCTCAAGCAGCCCGATGACAGTTTGCGCTGTTATCTGTTCAACTGCACGTACAGGGGCAGGAGTGTGTGCTCGTTTTCCTTTCAGCCGGGATTCAGCACCTACAGTCGGGTGAACAACAGCTCTAGACCCCATGAGCCCGGACGGGGTCCTACTGCTACTGACAGTCCGAGCACTACAGCCGGGAGACCTTCATATGGGATCGATGAGGACGAGTCAGTGATGCGGGGTGGGTTTCTTCGATTGTAGTAACGTTAGTCACGGGCCGCGCGTACTGAATGGGTCGGGACAAAAATGACAACGAAAGTTTAGGTCTTCATGTTACCCAGATACATATATATATATGTGTGTGTGTGTGTGTGAGGATTGCTGTACTGTTGGTTTTTGTAATATTTAGTGTTTAAAACATTTTCAGTGAATGCACTCTCAATTGTAGTGACGACATATTGCGTCTCTGCTCGTTTTCATCTCAGCTCAACTTGTTTGTGTCGCCTGAAAACCGGCAAACCTGACTTTCAGTCACTTTATTGCTGCAAATTGCTTTCGTTTTGATTGCCTTTTAAGCAATCACAGCATCATGTGGCAAAACTTGAACACTTTCATTAAAATAAACACAGCTGTTTTTTGCGAGCATTTGTGCTGACCTGACAGCCATTGCAAGCTATCCAATTAGGCTGTTGCATTTATTCATTCTATGTTTGTGTCAGTTACATCATAATGCACTTCTGGAGAGACTGCAAAATATAGGCCTGAGTAACATCACGACCAAAATATTCATACCGTATGTAGCATTCTAATGAAAAATATCTGTCTTTGTGAGATACTGTTGTCAAATTTAGGCAAGGTAGAGGAGAAACTCATGTTACTGTCCACATAAAATGATGGCAGGAAAATTATTTCAGAAATTGTCGACAGTAATTGAGCTATAATTATTTTGCATTTGAGAACATTTTTTGATGTTTAAAACATTTTCAGTGAATGCACTCTCAATTGTAGTGACGACATATTGCGTCTTTGCTCGTTTTCATCTCAGCTCAACTTGTTTGTGTCGCCTGAAAACCGGCAAACATGACTTTCAGTCACTTTATTGCTGCAAATTGCTTTCGTTTTGATTGCCTTCTAAGCAATCACAGCATCATGTGGCAAAACTTGAACACTTTCATTAAAATAAACACAGCTGTTTTTTGCGAGCATTTGTGCTGACCTGACAGCCATTGCAAGCTATCCAATTAGGCTGTTGCATTTATTCATTCTATGTTTGTGTCAGTTACATCATAATGCACTTCTGGAGAGACTGCAAAATATAGGCCTGAGTAACATCACGACCAAAATATTCATACCGTATGTAGCATTCTAATGAAAAATATCTGTCTTTGTGAGATACTGTTGTCAAATTTAGGCAAGGTAGAGGAGAAACTCATGTTACTGTCCACATAAAATGATGGCAGGAAAATTATTTCAGAAATTGTCGACAGTAATTGAGCTATAATTATTTTGCATTTGAGAACATTTTTTGTATATTCCAGTAGCTTTGTGTGGACCAGCTGTAATTATTTACAGCAATTATAGAGACTCAGGTACTAAGTAATATGTGAAGTTCACTGGTCTTGATTATGTTGTCTGATTTCTGCAGGTGACACACCCAGGCCTGCTGAAACTCAGTGGTCTTAGAGAAGGAATTTATACCTTTGAGCTGACCGTTACCGACACGGCGGGACAGAAGAGCTCTGACAATGTGTCTGTCAGTGTGCTCGCCCCTGCACCAAACGCAGAAGGTCAGAAATGATTTGTCTATATCTTCCTTGACTATTTTTAAAAGTTACTTGGGAACATGGATGATTAGTTTTTTTATATTTTGCATGTGTGTTTGTGTGTGTGTGTGTGTGTGCTTGCGTGCTATGAATGTGCAAAACGACATATTTTCAAAATCAACTAGCTTAATAACTAACTGTATTAAAATATATTGTTGAAAACAAATTTATTTAATGACAGATAATGTGTTATAACAATGACAGTAGTTTTTGTGTGATTATTTGATGGTGAAAGGGAAAGCAGAACATTTCTTTTCAACTTGAGAGGATGGCCCAAAAATGAACCACAAGCCTAAACGCAATACAAGAACACTATCTCAGTGTGAAATTGTCTTAATAATCAAATGTGCAAGCATGCACATTAATACAGATACACATACAGATAATGAGAAAATGGAGCAGTAGTTAAAATATTCTTAATAGGCTATGATAATAATGATAGAAAAGGTTATTAATTCCTTTATTTTGTCTCATCTGGACTATTGTAATATTTTGTACATGGGGTCCTGTCAGACCATTATTTCACGTTTACAATTAGTTCAGAATGCAACAGCTTGGCTGCTTGTGAGTGCTAAGAAAAGTCAACACATCTCTCCTATTTTGGCCTCTCTCAGATGGCTACCGGTAGACTTCAGGATAAAATATAAGGTTTTGTTGCATGTGTTTAAGGAAGTGCATGTCTGAACTTATGCTTCTGTGTCTGAACTTATTACTTTCCGTCAGTCATCTAGGTCTTTAACATCAACTAATAAGTTGTTTCTTACTATCCCACAAACTCATTTAAAGTTGAAAGGGGATCAGGCCTTTGCTGTTGCAGGTCCGCGCCTTTGGAATAGTCTGCCATCCGAGATTAGGGAAATAAATTAAATCCATAAACGCCTTTAAAGCTGGGGTTAAAAATTACTTTTAGTCATTAGCCTTCAAGGAGTTGGGCTGATGGGCTATTAGCTATTATTGAGCTTTTTTTTTTTACTTGGAGTGTTTGTTGTTTAGGTATTTTAAGTAGTTGTATGTTGATTTTACAGCACTTTGGTCTGCAGGTGCAGTTGTAAAGTGCTTTATAAATTAAAGGAATGAATGAATGAATCAGGGTTGCCAACTTTGGTTTCTCAGCTGGAGTGAGATTTCAATGACTGAATCAATTAAATACCCCTAGCTGGATCCAACAATTAATTTTTAATTTCATCTTAATACTACAAATTACCATACAATTAATGTGGTACTAGATGCACTTTTTAGAAACGTCCCCCTGTCTATGCAGATTAGATGCCAAATCTTAGTTCTAAGGTAATTTACCATCAAGTCAAATATAATTTATTACCAAAATAAATATAAAATATTTTATGTGTGCTAAAAAGTATATAGTATATAGCTTGTTTGTCTACAGGCAGTTGTAAATCACTAAATTATAGACAATAAAAAAAACAAAAGCAACCTAGATGTTAACTTGTCACCTGTAGGAACACACACTCCTCTAAAAACATTAACTGTAATTTATTTTTCCTGTAAATGCAGACTCTACTCCTTTTTAGGGTTGTCCCATTCCAGCTACTCTTCTTAAAATCATTTATTCAATTTAATTACTCATAAAAATGCAGATTTTAGTCTAATTATTTGCACCTATTTTTCTACTGCAATACAAACACTATTGTAAGTGACGTTACTAACAGTGCACAATTGACAATTAAATTATCACTCGCCATAGTGGTCCGGCTGGTTTCGCACAACTGGCATGTGTTAATTTTGTGCCCATGTTTGTGTTTTGGGAACACAAACATCTGTCTCACTTCTGTTTCTTCATTTTCTCTTTACTGGTAGATAGGGATGTAACGATTCACTCAACTCACGATTCTACGGAAGTTCTAAGCGGCCATGCATTATTTTTTTTCCCTTCTTGTTTTCTCGTTATAACGACTTATTTTCTCGTTATATCGACATAACGAGAGTTGTTTTCTCATTATAACGACTTAATTTTCTCGTTATATCGACATAACGAGAGTTGTTTTCTCGTTATAACGACTTATTTTCTCGTTATATCGACATAACGAGAGTTGTTTTCTCGTTATAACGACTTAATTTTCTCGTTATATCGACATAACGAGAGTTGTTTTCTCGTTATAACAACTTAATTTTCTCGTTATATCGACATAACGAGAGTTGTTTTCTCATTATAACGACTTA